TATTTACGATTTATACTTTTATAGTTATTTATTTATATATATACTATATATTTTGGGGTTAAGTTGTCCAAATTGCACTGTATAATATGTTTTGAATTAATATGTTCTTGGGTTTTTTTGAAATATATATATACATGTATTAATTCAACCTTAATATGAGTTTCTGGACAAGAAAGAGGGTAAGCAATTGAAATTTTATTCTAAAACCGATCTTTTTTTGTCTTTTTATGGCTTATGATCTGTCAAATTTGTAGTTTTCTTTATTGGTTTTGAGTGTTTATCTTAAAACTCAAGTTTCTCGCTTCTTTGCTATTGGTGTAAATCAAATACATTTGTGGAGTCGTTTAAATATTTTGGATTTTAAATATATTGGATTTTAAACTGTCATACAATTTTTTTCATCCATAGTTTGTAATTAGAACCATAACTCTTATTTATTCAAATTGTATTAATACGTAAAGACCAAGTGTAACCTATATCATCGTTAAATCTTATCTTATAAAACTAGTGGAACATCAAAATCGTTAAAATTCATGGCTCCCGCCGCATTGCGCGGATACACAATTAGTGTTTTTAAAATACACCTATTTTATAATAATAAATTAATGAAAAAATAATTTAAATTATTTTTATAACGAATGAAACTCAATTCTATTCAAAATCCTACAAATCAAACATACAAAAAATTACAAATTTTTCCATTAAATTTAAATATCTCAAAAACATTTAATCAAACCAAATGAACCCCATAAATATTTTACAATTCAAAAGAACATTTCACAAACCAACCCTACTAGAATCGTAACTTTTGGTCGTTTTTTTTTTTATTTTTTATTAATAAGTATATTAGACGTTTATTAAATTATTAGAAGGATGCAGTGATATATAACTCGATTTTAATGTTTCATTTATCCCGTCTTTGTAGATGTTATAATATGGTTTTTATGTGGTTTTGAGAAAATGATAATTTTTTAGTTTTGAATAAAATATAAATTTGAAGATATCATAAAATTTTGAAAATAAATATATCAATATTAATATCAAATCAACTATTTAAAAGTTTTTTGTTTTTTTGTGTAATTTTTTAATTCAATTTTTTATTATAATTTAATTTAGATTTAATAACGAAATAATTTATTTTGTATTTAATGATATAATAATTATTATAAGTATAATAATGGGAAAAGTACAATAAAAACCAATGAACTTTCTTGTTTGGAATGATTAAGTTCTTGAACTTTTTTTTGGAACAAATAAGTCCTTGAACTTTCCAAAACATGTTAAATAAGTCCTTGAACATTCCAAAATATGTTAAATAAGTCATTGGACAATTTTTGGAACAAATAAGTCCTTGAACAATCCAAAATATGTTAAATAACTTTTTGAAAAAAATAAAGTGGTAAAATAGTGAAAAAAATCCGGAAAAAAACCCAATGAACATTCATATTTTGAACGATTAAGCCCCTAAATATTTTTTGAACCAAAAAGTATTTAGATCTATAAAATTAAACAAATATAACAAAAAAGTACTTACATTTACAAAAAAATAATTATCATTTTAACTAGTTGTACAAGTCATTAGAATGTATCCAACATGTTTTATAAAAGTTCAAGAAGTTATTTAACATGTTTTGGATTGTTTAAGGACTTATTTGTTCCAAAAATAGTCCAAGGACTTATTTAACATTTTTTGGAATGTTTAAGGACTTATTTAATATATTTTGGAATGTCCAAGGATTTATTTGTGCCAAAAAATTGTCCAAGGACTTATTTAACATGTTTTGGAAAGTTCAAGGACTTATTTGTTCCAAAAAAAAGTTCAAGAACTTAATCATTCCAAACAAGAAAGTTCATTGGTTTTTATTGTACTTTAAGTATTCTATAAGAACTCAATGATTATTTTAATTAAATTTTATATTTTTTATATTTATAATAAAATGTTTATCTTGTATTTGACTATGTTTATATTAGCAGTTAATTATACAAATTAAATCATGAAGCTGTAATAAGTTATACTTACGCATAGTTTATTTACAATCTTAAATTTTAAGTAATATACATCAATAAACAGTACTTCATGTTCATACATAAAAAATGATTCTTAAGAGTTTTTCTCTAATGTTTTATAAGTAAATAATAAATCTATTTAGTTATTTAAGGTGGAATAGCTTTTGTATTGAAGGGGCTAAATGGGAATGAGAAAAGTCTAAAAAAATCCAATGGACTTTAGTGTTTGGAATGATCAAGTCTTTGGACAATATTTTGGAACAAATAAGTCTTTGGACATTCCAAAACATGTAAAATAACTCCTTGGACAATTTTTTAGAACAAATAAGTCCTTGAACAATTTAAAACATGTTAAATAACTCATTGAACAATTTAAAACATGTTAAATAACTCATTGAACAATTTAAAACATGCTAAATAAAAAATGATTCTTAAGAGTTTTTCTTAAAAAAAATTGGACAATTTTTTGGAACAAACAGTACTTCATGTTCATACATAAAAAAATGATTGTTAATAGTTTTTTTTCGATGCTTTATAAGTAAATAATAAGTCTATTTAATTATTTAAGGTAGAATAGCTTTTGTATTGAAGGGGCTAAATGGAAATATATCATACTTGGAAGGGGAATACCGTAACAGCAGACGAACGTGTTAGGGCACAAAATATCTTCATCCCCACGCAAAACCCTGTCACTGTAAATTGATTTCGATTCATAGCTCTTGTCACAAAAGCCACTGAAATTTCTTTCGACAAATTCTCCAATGGCTACAAGAAAGCTGGTCCGGGATATTTTTTTCTCCAAGCAGCCGCTTTATCGGAAAGTGTTAGCTTACAAACAGGTCAGTATCTACGTACAACTTCATGTTCTTGATCTTTCTTCTTTTCATAGTGTTTTAATTGTCTTGAATTTGAGAACGTTTTTGTTCTAATGTGTTCGGTTTTGATATGTTTAGGTTTCAACCGCAGCTCCGAGGCTAAGGTTACTTGGTGCTGCAAATGGGAACTCAACGTCTCGTGAATTCAGTGTGTTTAATGAGTTTTCTAAAAAGATTAAAGGCGAAGTGAACAGGTACTTTTCTTGTATTGATTTTGACACTTGAAGATGGTATTCAATTTTATGTGCTAAGGACGAATTAGGATTACTGTAATATTTTCGTTTGATACCAGACATCGCATCTCTAACTTGGTTTTGAAGAAAATACGAGGTTGGTAAAAGATAAGTGGCTGAGACCACTAAATTTTATTCTCTATATCGAACAAGCAACTTGAAAACCTAATATGAAGAAGGAAAAAGAGTCACATGTGCTCTTTGTGGTTAAACCTATTGGGTTGAGACATCAGGCATGTATCTTTGGCAATGCACATATCTTTAAAGATGGTGCTCTTTGGAGCATATGATGCTATGCTATTGAGTCCTATTTGATTGTAAGGCAAGAAATTTAGAGAAAGTTAGACATACGAGTAACACATTTGGTTTTTACAAAATCGCCTCCTATGTTTCCTTAGGTTTGATCCATGAATACTTTATGGCTTCTGAAGCATCTGTAACTAAACTAAACAAACCAAACAAACCAAACGAGCCTGGTATATCTCATACGGAACCTGGGCCTGGGAGTGGAAGGCATGTAGATCAGTATACTATCTCAAAGAGTAGAGCGGCGCTGTTTTTGTATAAACCCCTAGCATGCAAAACAGTGTGTGTGAAAATGTTTTGACCTGAGAGTTTCAGAAAGCTTGACAAAAGTTGAAGAGTTTGAAAAAAGAAAGGATTTGGAAAGTGTATATCTTGAAACCAGAAAAGAAAAAATGACGATTCTTGTAAAGAATAACCAAGACTAGTAAAAGATATAGAAGTAGGCACAGTGGAAGTGTGGAACATATACAAAGTATAAAAAACTACACTAAGCCCTTATCTAATCAAGACTCTGGTAGTCTATCTTTTGGCTCTCTAACCTTCCCCTTTCCCATCCTCATCCTCAACCTCTCTAACTTCCTTCCTTCCATCTATTCTAGTTACATGTTTCTACATTTAGCATGCTACCCTGGTCCTCTGTCGCCAAGACCTCTTGAAGCATGTGTATAAGAACCTATTCATATTGTTTGTTTTAAGTCAGATATAATAAGGTAATTTTTTCATCCATGTCATCTCGAGCTCATTTATGTGATATGAATACAACCCGGGATCTTTTATCATCATATATGGTATCCTGTTATTGGTCATATTAATTTTAGCAGGTTGTAAGTTTGGTGTTGCATTTCTCATCAAGCCTTTTCTGGAACGAATTCCTCCATTGTGTTAATTTACCTGTTTTCAGAAATCAGGAGTTTCAACAGTCGGTAAAAGAATTTAAGGAGAAGACTGAAGAGCTGAAAGGGGTGAAAGAAGATCTAAAAGTTAGGTAATTTTTGTACCACAAAAGCTTTTTTAAGTTTCTAAGTTTTGCTTTAGTTGCTTTTAGGCTGAGACATACTGTTGTATGTCAAAGCTGGGCAGACACTTCAATTGAAGGCCCTGAGATGGTGAACTGGCGAATGCAGAACGAAGCAGAAAACAGAGCAGCTTTACAAGCATGTGGATGGTGCATGGACAGAAGCCGAAGCTACAGCAAAGAAGGTTTCGTTCTAACCTTCTTTTTAGTTTTTAATATCATTGTAATTTGTTTCACTTGAAACTTTAAGTTACAAGTATTGGAAGCTGTTAATGAAATAACCAAAATGTCAAATGTTATTTGTCTTTTATCCTTAATGTTAATTAATCTTTAGTATCATATATGATATCTGCAAGAAAATTGGTCGATAGAATATCCATTTAGTTCTGTAATCACAGAATACTTTGGTCAAGTAAACTGGATATGTGGCTTCATCATATTGGATAGATTTGTTACGTTACGTTGTGGCGCAAACAACCTCAATAATGCTTACAAGCAATGCCCAATGTGGGACTATTCTCTGTTTTGGATCATGAACCTTGTGAGAAAACTCCAGAGAGGAAAGTACAAGTTGTCTCTAGAATATTTAATAACAAACAAATAAAGAAAATTAGCGAAGATGAAGTTTTACTGTTCTTTACCATTCTAAAAATTTATCTCCATCGTCTATATTGACCTTGATTTATTATTTCTTCCTTATCCCATGAAAGTTTATAAATGGAATATGATAATAATGAATGGTAGTATGGTTGGGGCAATACTTTGTATGTTTCTTTCATTGCCTATTGTATTCTTTCTGAATCACTCCCGTTTCTAACAGCTTTGGATACATACAGGTGATTATTGGATTTGGATCCCTGGAAGTCATGATCAACAGAGTTGAAACGTGAATAATTTAATTGTTTTACCTGTAGCTGTAGATACTGGGAATGTATATCCAATAAAATGCTTATTTGACATTTTAAGTAACAATAAAAGAATTAAAAAAATGGACAATAGTTAAAGCCATCAGACAATGCAGAGTTGTAGAGTGCTAGGTCATCTTTTGACATTCTTTATTTCTTTTGTGGAGTTCTTACCCATCCTACACTAAGTAGTTTCAATAAGTTCCTTGTTTATTGATATTATGTAGCATGACATTCTGATCCGTGATGGAATTATATATACATTGTGATCATCTTGCAGGTATCCGAGAATCTTAAGGAAAAGGTTTCAGCTGCTAAAGAGGAGGTCTGTGGAGCTATTTAAGTTTATTGCTTTGAACAGTTTTATGCTGCCATACGAGATTGAATAATGAGCTTATTATAGCTGTTTCATCTTGTTACAGGTGAAAGAAACTTTAGGAATTGGGAAGCAGGAATCCTCGGAATCCTCCAGTTCTTCATCTAATGAGGGTTCTGCAGGGAAAGATGATAAGGATCATAAGCAGTCTGCTGATGGAGAATATAAGAAACAACAATCTGGGTTTGGTGACACAACAGAAACAATATTTAGCAAGTTCCGGTCTGGTGTTTCTTCTGTATTTCCCAAGGTTTCGTCTTCCTTTCAAACGGCCAAGGACGCAAAGGTCCTTGACTTGGCGAAAAAGGGTTATGACATTGTGAAGGATGAGTTGAGTGGTAGCTCAAGTAAGAGGAAACGGGCCAAAGCTGCTTCTGCTGCTTCCCAAGCTAATGTCGAAAGAAGTACTAGAACAGATATTGCTGTTGTACCTGTAAAGCAGTCACGATTTAACAAGAAGTGGGAGGCGTTCAAGGCTAAAGTAATTTCTTTTATGTCCTAGTTGGGTAAAATTTAGTTTTCATTGTTTCTCAACCAAAATAATTTGTTGTATACTCTAGATGCAAGGTCATCCAGTATTCAAGCGAGTCAGTGGCTTTAGTGAACCCGTTGTGACGAAGAGCCAGGAGGTACAAGCACATGCAATTCCATTAATCATTTTCATTCATCATGAGACATCATGGTAGTAGTAGTTGGTTCCAACTTTCTTATTTAATTGGTTGTGTAGTCAAGCTAGCTTTAAGCTTGCATTAATTCATCAGCAACACAGTTCAGAATAAAGCTTATAGTTTTGCCATCTATTTATCACTCATTGTGTTGGTACTCTGTGCTCTTGGGCATCTTTCACACAATTTGTTAGTACTTAGCAACTTACTCTGTGGCTTTGTCCCGAAAGACAAGTCCAGCTCTTATTTTGTGTCTCCAAGATGCTTTTATATTACTTTAATGGGTTTACTGTGGTTCTCAATCTTTTTCGCTTGAATCACACTGATCTATCTAATCAATTCAATGTAAAATGTGTCATATGGACTCATCTGTGGAACGGAAGTGGTATTTTGCAAATATATTTTGGATAATGTGAATGCTCAAAGTGTGTTAGCCAGAGCTAAGTTAAAAAATTTTGTCTTTTGAAAATCTAGGAGCTCCTGTTGTTCAATTTTAGTTCTAGTAATGGAACATCAGGTTTGCAAAACTGGGAGGCACAAGTTAGTGTACTTATAGAAACTTGGTTTCATCAGATATTCAAGCTTGTTAAAAATTTATTACCAAATAGATTATGCGCTGTTCTGTTTAATTCATTCTCCAAATGATGCTTGTGATTTGTGAATGTGTAGTCTTGTAGACTGTCACAAAGACATTAATGTTCTATGCTTTGCAAAGTTGATATCTGACATAGTTATGTACACACGTGCACTAGCCCCACACAATTCGTAGGATTCCAGGGTGGGACTACTGGGGGTTTGCATGTTGACTAGACTTCTTCAGTCAGTACCCATTGTGGGAGTTACACAGGTTAAATATGTACATGATAATACCCATGATGAATATACATGCCGGTCCACCTGGATTATTTGTACTGTTTTATGCTATATGAATCCTTTTTAGACCAATGCTGACATGTGAAACAATTGAGCGTAATGGTGGGACGTGATTCTAGTTTTCCAGCAGCCATGTATATTACCTAATGCACCCAATATCCTTCCATTCATCAAAAATAGAAACCGTGCATTGATGGTCACAATTCTACCTTTATGTTTTTTTGCTCTTCTGCTGCATGTGGCTACTGTCTAATGGTGCTGGTGGTGGTCCATTCCTGATCTCTTTCTCAAATGGGATTTTTAGATTGCAGAAGATATGCGGGAAAGATGGGAGACTAGTGATCATCCTGTAGTTCACAAAATTCAGGAGTATGCTCTCTTTCTGCTAGTTTATTTATATATTTCTAGCAAATATTGCTTTTTGTTTCTATGATTCCAAGGGTAATGATATGGTTGTTCTTTCTGCAACAGTATCAATGAAAGCGTTTTTAGAGAGACAGATGCGGCAATGTCATTTAAGGAAATTCGTCGCCGTGACCCGTATGATGATGCATCTTGGTTCTTCCTTTTTTCTGTTTAGAAAATTTGATAACCCACTAACTGATTAAAATTGGTCTTTTTCAGGTATTTTTCTTTACCTGACTTTGTATCTGATGTGCAAGAAATTGTGAAACCAGTTCTCAAGGCCTACACTAAAGTAAGTTTGAAGTTATATTAAATGGTAGGGAGGCACTTCTATTTCTTAGTATGGATTTCTATGCACCAATTATCTACTAAGCATCTCCACTTAACTTTTATGCCATCTAGTTATTGCATTTATTTCATATCTGACTGTAAATACGACTGTTTACAGGGAGAGACTGAAGTATTGGAGAAATATTGTTCACCTGAAATAATTGAGCGGTGTAAAGCAGAGCATAGGGTTTGTGAGATGCAGGGCACCTTTTATGATAACAAGGTTAGAAGATAAAATTCATTTGACTATTATCGGTTAAAATCCACATATAATGCACTTGAAGGGCATAAGCTATTGCAGATGCTATTGTTTATCTTCTTAATTAAAACTCTGAAGATGTGAACACATGTCCAAGGTAGACTTAGAGCAAGTCAAAACGAGTGTGTATAGCTACGATAACTGGTTTCAGTTAATTTACTTGTCATATATACAATTGCACATCATATTATATTTCAGTGTTGTGGTATGCTAGTTGAGTTTTTGTCGGGGTTATATTATGTTCTTTCACATATAGAAGCTGTTGCTTGTATACTTGACTCAACTAGAAGTGGGTGATCACTTTAATGTAATTAGCTAGTACCCACAGGAACTCACTTGCCACATATAGGTTTTTTTTATCAGTATGTAGAATATGTTTTATGGTGAAGTGCCCAACAAGATAAGGGAGGGAGGAAGGTCGTAAACACCTTTTTGTATGTCCTCTGTGCCAAGAGTTTGCAAACATATTATAAGGTTGTTTGTTATACAGAAGCAACCGTTCGCTCTGTCCTAGTTGCTTCTAATAAGCATCTATATATGATTTATGAGCTTTACATGAATTGCTTTCTAACATTGAAATTGATCAAAATAATGTTCTGCTTGAAGAAAAAAAGTTGGCAAGTACATAAAAGGACACAAATTTGTTGAAACAAGATCTCTGATGGGCAAAGCTTAGGAAGCTTTTGCCCTATCCCAAGGGTTGCATGCTTTGAAGCTTAAGCTTTTTTCTGGTCACTGATGACAGGACATGAGTTAATTATTGACTTGTTACCTTGCTCGCCCTTCTAAAAGAAAAAAGGAAACCAAATGAACCCAGTAAATCCCACATAAAATAAGATCTGGAGAGGGTAATACGTACTCTGACCTTACATCTACCCAAGGAGCAGAGAGACTTGCTTCTGTGAAGACCCTGACTTGCAAAAAGATTCTTGCGAATAATTTCTGGGGGAGTGTTAAGGACTCCGAAAGTTCGTGTAAATTAGAAAGAAATGAAATTTTGAAGAGTTAAAGAGGAGCTCAAGACAATTTTTGGAGAAGGAAGAAAGGCCAAGGAAGTAGAGCAAGTAAGCACAGTACACAAAAGAAATAGATTAGGATTTAGAACATGTAAGGACATTAAAAGCATAAAGAAAATTGAAACAATTAATGAACTAAACAACCTAGAAATGAAATGCGGTAAAACAATATAACAAGTGAGCAAAAAGACCCCTTCCGGGTTAAACTTGCACAAAGCTCTCTACCTATCCCAAGGCTCTGATGCCTGGTTGTCGGCTCCCTAACCCTCCACCCAGCCCCCTACCTCGCCAGTCTCCAACCCCCTCCTCTATCCACAGTACCCACTAGTCCCTACACTAAATCTGCTACCCTTTCTCCACGAACTCCTATCTAAGGTCATATCTTCAGAAATGTCTAAAGCCGCCATGTCCAGTTTCAGCTGCTCATCCCACATCCTCATAGGCCTGCCCCTGGTCCTCACCCCCTTTACGCTCTTGATCCTCCTCATGGATGCCGATGTTGTGATATTTGTGTCCTACAAACGTGTCCAAACCACCATCTAGGAGTGATGAAACAATGGCCTTCTGCATTTTTTATTGCTCAACCAGTTTACGAGGATACATTAATTCGTTACTTTCACACAACAATACAATTTGAAAATTACTAAACATCACTTCTAGAGGTGATAGTTGATAATCGCCTTTCTTTCTCTTGCCTGTACAGAACTATAAACCAACACAACATATATGCTGTAATAGAGTAAAAACTTGTTGAGGCCTTTAAGTCGGTCGGTCCCTCCCATGCATATCGTTGTTATCTATTTGATGCTACCTTATTTCAAGAACCTTTGTTGTTTTTGTCAAGTTACTTCTCTTTAGTCCACAGAGCAGAGAACAAATACAGTAGATTTTGAGTTAGAACATGCAGTGAGATTTTGCTAATCGTTTACTTGATGCAGATATTGCATATATCTGAAGTTGATGTAAGAGAGACCAAAATGATGGGTGACAGCCCCTTGATTATTGTTGGGGTATGCACCTTTTCCAGTTCAAATCTTGACACCCCTTCTAACAGCTTGTACTGACTTGTAACTTCGCTTGTACAGTTTCAAACACAACAGGTGTATTGTGTAAGAGATAGACTTGGTGAAATAACAGAAGGTGGCAAGGTAATTTGCTTTGTGATTCTTGTTATGTACTTGTATGCACACTTGCCCATTGCTATCTTATGTGGTGGTTTTTTGTAATGAATCCAATTGCTATCTTTGCACTTTTGTAATGTCAAGTGTTCTTATCGGTGGAATTGATATTAGGGTGTCTTTGACCCATTCTCTTTGACAAAATCTATTTCCCAACATTCTTGATGTTGGGATTTCGTAGTGAACTTCATCTCCTTGCTTCTTAGTCTCATCAATTACTAAATAAAAAGGATACATCTTCTGTCTCAAATGAAATGTAGTATTTATGGGATGTTATGTCCCATGATCATAGACGGCCTCTTTACCATTCTGTATAAATAGGCTATTCAACAATTTTCCTTTTCGGCGAAATTTCAATTTAGAATTACCTTTGTTCCCATTAGTAGTGGTTACAAAACATTGATGGTATTGATTTTAATCCACAAGATTCACCAATTGTTGTTTGGAGGATATTTTGATATTTTATTAGTATTCTATTACTCCGTCCACCCCAAAATAAAAAAAAACACAGCTTTAGAAATCGTAATTGTTATCCTTTTTAATTAACTGAAAGACAATTATACCCTTGATAATAGAGGGAGTAAGGAATTTCTCCTTTTCATGATTAAGGATATAATTGGAAAGTAGGCAGTTACGTTTGGGAGTGGACACTTATTTTGGGATGGAGGAAGTAGTAAACACTTAGATTTAAGACGGTCTAGTCACCAAAAATAGAACCACAAAGAAGCTTTGTATTTTGTAGGATTATGTTGAATGAATCTTTCGTTCCTTCAATCGATTATATCCACCTGCTCGCCTTTTTCTGATTGTTTTTGGGTTGACTTTGATCTTGTTGGTCAATGATTTGGTTTTCTAGGATACGATCCACACGGTCCATTACTTATGGGCTATGCAACTTGCGGAGGCAGAAGAAGGTTCAGAAGAAGCACATATGCCACTGTGGAAGCTTAGAGATATGCAACAAGTTGGCATCCGAGCGCTCATATGATCATAGAATGGCTTTCGTAAGCTTTATTATCATCGCATTAATCCTTCGGCTGCAGGCAAATTTTGTTTTGATTTACTTTTGTTATAACTTCCCATTCATTAAAGGAATGAGATTGAACTCGAGTTCCTCCATCTATCTCTTCATTAGAATAGATTTTGACACGATGAACTTTAGTAGCAGAATAAGATTTTCTTGCTCTGAGAATATGCAAGCCGCAGATGTTAAACACGTAACAAATTCACTAGTAGGGATGTAGGCAAGATAAAGTCGGGTCATGAGCCATGTTGTCAAAAGGTCTGGCTATTTGACCCAAACCCCAGGTCTGCGTACATGTCACCTGAATCTGGTGTTTGGAGAGGTGAGATGTACGTAGACCTGGGACATATCAAGCCCAAATTTGCGTACATCTCACCTAAATGTGGGGTTTGGAGAGGGTCAAATATATGAGGACGTGGGATATATCTGCATACATCTCATCTTCTGCAAACCCAAGAGTTGTGAGTTACACATTTGTACTTTTGACTTGATGAACCGACCATTAGAATGATTTTGATGCACTTTAAGGTTTTTTTGTTGTATTTTAGCAGATATGATGATAAATATATTACAAAAACCATAATTATATAACTCGTGCAAGAAGGGTCTCTCTTTTAAAGGTAGATGTCGTCAAGGCTAAGGGGCTGTTTACTGAACACTTACCCGGTAAGTGTTGATCGGGTAACTTTTCTCACCTGATGCACATGGCAAGGGCCGAAAATCTTATCCGGTAAGAGCGATGATAAGGATAGAGGGTCTTACCCGGTAAGTGATGGTGAGGACTCTCACCCGGGTAAGGTTTTACCGGGTAAATTGTTGCATATCATACCATTTTAATATACTACGATTTTATCTGGTAAAATAGATTATAATGTTGACTCCTACGGTAAGCGCTTACTAGGTAAGTATTTAGGTAAACAGTCCCTAAGTCTATTTTGCGTGATTTGGAGTTTGTTATGGAATCCATACCCTTTTCAATCTCATTCAAAGAAGATAGAGGAATTCCCCAGTACTGTTATAACTTGAAATTTGGAGATTTGCTAGACATTGTTGGTTGGAAAAGGACGAGCTTATTAGTGATATGGCTCGCCAAAGGCAACGATCAAAGTGGGACGTTAAGGCGGTAAATTGCATACCTATCATAGAAAATTTTCAAAATAAGCTGGCAAATTGGAAAAGGAAATTGATATCCTTTGGAGGTCGAATGACTTTGGTGAAATTAGTTTTGGAAGGTTGTCACTTTATTACTTCTCTTTGTTGCAGAATGTATCTCCTAAGCTTTCTTAAGCTTTCCGGTACGGATTTTGCAGAATGTATCTCCTAAGCTTTCCGGTACGGATTTTGCACATCAGTCCTTACTTTGGATGGATCTTTCACTACTTCGGGGTTGTTTGTTTACCTTTTAATAGTTTCATTAAGAGGCAACCTCTGAATCATTAAGAGGTGAATATTGTTTGGCAAAAAAAAGTCTGTCTTTTAATGGTTTTAAAACCCTCTGAATGATTTTGTATCATGGATCTTCCTTAACCATTAAGACCCCTAATTTCATTGTACACAATTACCAAACAATTATATTTCATTTTTCACTATATCATGAGAGCCTCTTAATCATTCTGCACCAAACCATTCGGCAATTGCCAAACAGCCCTTTCATCTCTTCGGCATATGGTGGATATATCCTTTCTGCAATCTTCTCCTGATGATAAAGCCACATTATGGAACAAGATAGTTCCTAGGAAAGTGACCGTCTTCGTTTGAAGGGCACTTCATAACAACTTGTCATTTCTTCAGGAGCTCAAGAAAAGACGAATCGATGGATCATTGTCAACTTGGTTATAAGGTCTCCTTATCAACATCGTTCTACTTTCTTTCGTATTTGAGTTATTGATTTTCGATGGTGGCAAGCAAATCATGGGATTGTTGAAAGATGTGTGACAAGCGGTTCTCTGAATTGCAGCTTATTCTCTTTGGCAACTTAGGAATGCTTGCATCTTCAAGAGACGAAATTCTCACGGTAATCTTTCCGTTGACATCCAGTTTAAATCCTTTGAGTAGATTGCTTCAAGACTCTAAGATCGGTCTATTTGGAAGACGGGTTGGTTTAATTACCCTTCTTTTGCTACTTCTTGAGGTTCTGCTGTTGTTTCCCTCGTTAAATCCCTCTTTTTTGTCTTGTTTTTTAGCTGGTTATTTCTTGTAAAGTTTGACTCAGTAATATTTCCTTTTATAGGGTGGTTATATATTTTTTTAATTTATAATATTATTTTTCCTTTAAAAAAGAATTATCTAATAAACACATTCAACAACGAAAAAGCAAGTTTCATTTATAAAAAAAAAAAAGTAAAACTGCAAGATTCAAATGAAAAATGTGATTATTGAACCACAAGGTGGTGTCTAATTGGTTTGAGCTTAGCTCCAAAGGTCAAAAATACCAGGAGGTTTCATGTTCAAATCCAAGGAAGAATAAAAATCCTCTTGTGGCCAAGGAGGTTCAGATGCAGTGATTCCGAGCTATCTGCAAAGCAGATGGTCATCCTGAGATTAGTCGGCTAGCATAGCGGGTTGAATATCCAACTTAATAAAAAAAACGTGCTTATTGATTACACCAACATATAAATATCAAAGCAGCATTAAAAGGTGATTTGGTTATCAAGTAAATTGTTTTTCCAAGTGCTTATTTTACATTTCAGACGTTCACAACCAACCAAATATTCATAACAATCACATTTTGTTACTCCAAGATCGAAACCGATTTCAGTTCGTATCGCTCGATCCCATGTTCGCAACGGTTTCCGTCAACAAACCGTGCAGCTTCCTAGTCTCTGCCACCACACATTCCCTATCAAACAGGGCCGAAACAACCGCCACCCCTTCCAGATTCGCAACACCTAATTCCATCACCGACCTAGCGTTCGAAAGATTGATGCCGCCAATCGCCACCACCGGCAGCTTTGAAGCCAAGCAAACGTCTTTTAGACCATCCAAACCGATGGTCCGGTTGTTTGCTTTTGTATTAGTTGGGAATACGCCGCCCGAACCTATGTAATCGGCACCATCGGCCCATGCCTTCAGAGCATGCTCCGGTGTCTTGCATGATACACCGATGATTTTTTCGGGTCCGAGAAGGGATCGGACGGTGTTGACCGGCATGTCAGATTGGCCAACGTGGACCCCATCCGCATCACACGCCATTGCAATATCGATCCTGTCGTTTATCAGTAGTGGGACGTTGTGGATGCGACAGATTTCGAGACAAGATTTGGCTGCTTCTAGGAAGTCTCTTGTTTCGGCATCTTTTTCCCTGAACACACATGAAAACAGTCTTGTCTCAACAAAAAGATCGGGTGCACAACACATAACAAATTAAACCAAACCAAGTGAGTCAAGACTATAGATAGACCGTACAAGTCATAAATAAAACAAAATATAAAAAATTCATACCATAGTTTACCAAACGCTTACCCGGGTAAGCGCTTACCAAGTAACATTACCTCAATGGATGAATATGGTAAGGACCAAGAATCTTACTCGGTAAGAGCATGACAAGGACCAAAAGTCTTACCCGGTAAGTGAGTGTGACGACTCTTACCATGGTAAGCGCTTACCGGGTAAATTGTTGCATATGATGTCGTTTTGGTTGACTAAAATCTTATTTGGTAAGTAAATAATAGTGTTAATTTTTACCGGTAAGCACTTACCGGGAAAGTGTTTGGTAAACGGCCCCTTAAGTCTTGTAAATTCAAACAAGAAAAACGTAAAAAATGACAAATTAACATATGAAATTCACTTAAATAAAATGATTCTTCTAAAAGCATCTCCAACAGCTATGCTAAAATAGAGATTTTGGAGCTTTTTTGCTCCAACAGCTAAAGTGTATGCTAAAAGAAAGAGGAAAAAAGGAGATAAGGTAGAAATCTCCAAATTTGAAAAAATCTCTAAAACTTAATACTGAGGAGAGAGATATTATTTTACTTGTTCCAACCAAAGAGGTTGAATGTGTCATAATTTTTTATAAAGTGTTTTTAAAAATTTATCGGGATGATGAATTTATTGAATCAGTGTTGGAATAATTCAAATAAAGTAGCTGTTGGAGTTGGATGTAATTGTTTTAGAGATTTCAACTTTGAATACTCTATTTCAAAAAATTATAGCATAGTTGTTGGGATGCTCTTAACATTTTTCAGAAGTCGGTATCGGGAATCGCCAAAATGTTTGGGCGAGTTTTCAGTTTGGTGGTACTAAGTTGGATTTTTAGAAGCAATCCCAGAGATTATATGCTGTGGAATCCTAATCAAGAAGGAATTCCTAAAACAGAAATGAGTGAAAGGGAGAAACGCTAAACCTCAGCTGCACAATGGTGGCGCCTCCTTCAACGGCAGCTTTAACAGCATCTGTAATGGAACGACCCCATTTCTTATTCATCCCCGAATCTGTGACCGCATATAAGAAGAGATCACTTGGATCAAGCAGTTGCAGCCTGCTTGAATTGCCAGCATTCCTCTTTAGCTTAAATCCATGATCAAAAGGACCTTGAGGTCCGTTTCCAATTGTAATGCTTTTGCTATACATCAGCGCAGTCTCCACATATCGTTTTGCTACCTTCATAACAAATACGAAATAGAGCTCTAATCTAGGAAAGCCAAATGTAATATCCGTAGAATAAATCTCATGCTGCGTGTTGTCTTATTTATGTTAGAGCTAATCAAGTACACATGATAATAGTTGCAAAAACAATATATATATATATATATATATAGTTACATGGGTCTCTTCAATTTTCCTTCACATAAGGTCTCTCTTAAGATTCTTATTATCTGTTATGAATTTCAGTAGTTCTCTCACATCAAGAACAAACATTATCTGATTCTATATATGCGAATAAAACCGGAAAAAGGAAATTATTAAGATAAGCATTAGCAACATGTGGATATGCAACGTTTTTTCGCCATTGTGATGTAAGATTGAAAATTACATATATATCATCAGTTACTGTGTTAAGTAACCATTGTACTTGGAACCTTTATTGCCAAAAAGAACCATCCTTTTTGCAAAAATGCAATTAAACAAAACTACAGTGTGTAAGAATGAATGATTTCCAAGAAAGAAGTGGCAAGTTCAGTGGTTTTTTAGCTTTCAAATAATTTGTCCAAAATCGCAACCCTTGCAAACTATTTGAATCTTTTTCATCATTGACTTTGTTTTCTTTTTGGTAACCATAGGGTGTCTGGGTCGGCTTGCACGACCTTGACTAATCCCATGGGCCCTGAGATAACAGCCAGGAAAATCTCCATTGACCCTCAAAAGACTTGAATTGGCGACCTATGGGGAGAAGCCCCAAGGTATATATATAGCCTTCATTTACCAGTTGGGCTGGCCCTCAATTCTTCCGATAAGATAGATTTCTGGATTGCTGTTTTAGTTTTTACTGTTGGTTATAATTTCACAAAGTTGTGTGCTTATAAGAATCATTTCTTCTAAAGAGTAGGAATTTGAGGTGTATTTTTCGAAAACTGAATTAATAAAGAATGTCCAATTCCATCATGCTTTCAGAATTTAAACTAAAATATCCAGATAAAAGACACTTAGTTGTGCTGAAGGCAGTTTCTGAGAAATTGTGCTTGCACGTATATACCACTTCAATATGAGAAGCTAAGACCCCGAAAGTAATGTGAAGAGTAAATTACCTTAACAGCTGATAACATCGAAGAGCCCTTGGCCAGCTCAGCCGCTATACATGATGCCAAGGTACAACCAGTTCCATGAGTATTTCGAGTTTGTATGCGTGTTGAACGTAACTCATAGAAATCTTTACCTGCATGACCAATAGAGTAAAGTACGTGAACAAGCAGCCAGCACAAAAAGGACAAACACCTCCTAATGCAAATAACATTTAGATTGAGAAAGAAAGAAGTTAACAAGACGTATATAGAACAAAAGCAGATAATTTCCAGTTACACATATTATAGCATTTATTAAGCTTGAGTCTCGAGAAGAAATATTAACGCCGTCCAAACATACCATCGAAGAAAACATCAATAGCATCTGACGAAGAAGGGAGGTCGCCTCCTTTTACAAGCACATTTCTGGAACAATTTGAATTAGTAATTTCAGTTGGTCATTAATAGCATGAAAGCAAGCAGGGACACATAGTAAGCACATGGTAACTGTTTCAAAAATATAATGCATTGTTTCAAAAATTACCGTGGTCCCATATTATGTAAAGATTTTGCTGCAGAGCGCATGTCAGTAACTGTTTTCAATTGCAAGCCACCGAGTAAAGCAGAAGCCTCTTTTAGATTTGGCGTCACAATGTCAGCCATAGGAAGAAGATCATGCCTGCAATCAGAAATATAGTCAAACCAGGTGCAAACCACGATGTTCTCTGATAATGCCATAAACCAATATGGAAGCGCAAGAGTTCATAATTATGAATATGTGCACAATAAAGAAAGATCACATAGATGGTAGATTAAATAGAGCAGAATTCAATTCTTTAAGAGATGAGGATGTCAAGATGTAACCTAATAAAGATTGCTAGAAAATGAATTCGCAACAGGAAGCACTCATCTCGACTCATAGGATCTTTGAACTATGCAGACTGGTATTTCACAATAAGAATACAAATTTTAGCAAACTTGGTAAACTATTCTGACATGATCCACATGAATTCATTATCTCTGATAAGCTTTTAGCAAAGCAACATTATAATTGACGACATGGCAAGTAGCATGGTTGAATCCTTCACGCTTGTCACATACATGTCAAGTTTACGTTTTCCTGTTCCTAATATTGTTGCCAACAGCGATTCCATGAATCGAATTGAAGGGTGATATTAAGTTGGTCTTCCTCTTCAGGCAGCATATCCTTAAAAAGGACAGACAAGAAAAAATGGATTTTGTAAGCTATCCATGTATCTTACGGTTCCGTTGCGTGTGCTTGGTGTAGAAGTTCTGTATAAATGTATCGCCATGCTATTAAGTATTTTGATTTAATATTGTTGCCAATAGCGACTCCCTGATTCTTGTACATTCCAAAGTTAGCTTCCATGACTTATTTTTCCCAAACCATTTTTACCAATTACCAGTGATAATACTTCAACTGTTCCAGAATCTTTGAAGATGTTCAACTAGAATATGAAATTTCTAGCCACTAACTTTCATCTACAAATCTAATACAAACAGTCAAACACATCATTGAGAAGTACTGCGAGTTTACATCAGGACACAAAGAAGCTCATTTGCTCAATCTTTCAAACTACTCAACATGCAAGTCATAGCAAAAGGAAAGGTGAAATAATTGCAAAAGGAACAAAAGGAGTCCTCATCTCCCTGATGTTGCAATGATCTGCCATAAAACTGAAATTGGGAAAAAGGTGGATTGAAATAATAGGAGTGAAATAAATCACTACACTTTAAAAACTTATATCTAGACATAAGACAACCAGATGAATGAGGGCATCAGAAAATAAATACAACCTTTGCCATTTGGGCTGGGGGTTTTTACAAACAATATTGTCGAACATTTACCTCCACTTAATAGAAGCCCCTTTACTGTAATCTATAAGTCCAAAACATACTGTGGCATGAAAAAACCAAAGGTTTACACATCATGTCACTAGTGGTGAAGTGCTCAAGAATCTAACAGAACATGACACCTCAACCAGGACCCTTCAAATTAAAAAATGGATGTGGCCTGTGGCATCTAGGAAGGATCACCTGCCTAATATCTGCAGTCATGGTAAATGATTCAGAGCAAACATGAACCACTTTATGCCATAGCCACTGTCCAGAATTGACATCATCATACACCCATTCATGGGTTGTTACATGTGGGTTAGCTAGCATAGACAGGGTATGGGTCAGATCACTCAGATGTGAATGTGATGCCATTACTCTGCTTCCAACCACTAAAGAGCACTCAAAGCGGGACCAGAAGAGAAAACCCACAATATTTAAAGAACCTCAAAATACTTGAGAAAAATACCAATCATCTTGTGGATTTCTTCAAATACTGGAAAGGAAGAATACATGTTTATGACTTCGTCACGTCAAAACAAAAGACATGAGCAGGACCATTTTATGCTGGATTCGGCAGTTGGATGTGAAATTATTTCAAGTGGATACTCGTCATAAGAGATAGCTCTTGTTGGTGATAAAAGAAGATTCCAACTGGAAGATCTTTTAACTATATGTGCTGCCCTATTTCCTCTTTTGGGAATTACTTGACCACTCCATTAAATGTCTGCTCAGATTGTTAGAAAAAGAAATCTTATAAGACAAGCACAACACTTTGTAGAAGGGATGGATTTCCATTGCTGATACAAAGCTCAGGCGTTGCACAACCATTATCTTCCTCTGAAGCCGATCCTAATCCTATTATGAAATTCATGTGAAACATGGTCTTGATAAGAACCCAACAGCACAGTTATAAGTATTTAAAATTGTGAGCATACTTAAATTCTCGTTCTGCAACATTTCACAAGTTCTATAAACGTCTTTGAATGTCACAAAGTTATTTGCATATACCATCAGAATTGCAGACTCGGTTCTAGTTAGATATAAACCATACAATTTTCAGCCATAAAATCTTCTTCAAACGAATAACCAGCTTTAACAATATATTACATATTAGGTACAAGTAAGGCATAAGTTTAGCGCAGTTCCAGCATGAAACAATCAATATTGGCAGGAAGGATAGTTACTTGAGTTATAGTATAACAGGAGATATCTTACCGAAATGTATCAAGAATTGATGGACCAGCAAGCACATCTCCACTGGTGGACACCATGACAGGATCAACCACTAAAGCTGCCTTCAGAAATTAGACCAAGTCAATTCAGAAGCGACATTACTCTAATTCATATCAATTTGTCATACCTTGAACTGGAAACTGCTTTAGGCTGTCATGAAGGATCTTGACCATGCCAATTGAGGGAAGCATGCCAGTTTTCACCTAAGTTGACATAGGTATTAGATTGTGGTCAACGTTTACGAACAAAATAACATTGCAAGAGCTCAATATTACACATCTTTTAATTTTCAAGCAGTTACCTAACTGATCAAGTAGTTAAAAAATGATATAAGACGCAACAGCATGTGCATTAACCAACAGACCTATTTAATGTTGCACTTTTAGAATATGAAAGTGGTGCTTTTGTCCACAAATAGGTTGGAAATTTAAAGAGAAGGATTTGTTGCAATTCAAAAATACGAAAAGGATGCTTATATCCTTAAACAGATTGTGTGTTATTATAGTTACTGTTAGTATTTCAAAACTGCTTTTAAGGCCAATGTTGCATGTTATTTTGATTTCATGTCATTCAAATAACTGAAAGAATACCACCAACTCCAACTTATTTTCCAGTATTAACCATTTTTTAGCTATGCCAACTCCAATCAACCTGATACAGGCTTTTGCAGCTCATGCTTTATTTGCATTCTAACACCCATCACATATCGATAAATACATTTTCCTGGTACAGTTGTCAAACACAAGGCACCTGTTATAAATGTTTGACCACACCAATTCAATTTGCGAGGATCTATACCACAAACCAAACAGGTCCTAAGTTGATGTCGGTGTGACGGTGTCACTGCATAATGATCACATAATGATAATCAAAAGTGAACTATTCTATCTATAATACCATTTCCTACATCCATTTTATCGAGGACGTAGTTCATCAATAGGAATAAGTTACGCGCATCATTTTCAGTTTTGAGCAAAAAGTTGCACTTGCTTGCAAAAACCTTAACTGCCAACAAATCAAATATATTTGGAACCATTAGCCAACAAAGGGCCTTAGCTTAGCGGAATCAGAGCCTCTGGCCTCCTAGGAGGTCAGGGGTTCAAACCTCACCAAAGGTGAGGAGGGTGTGTGAGATTATTTATTGCATTTGGTATATATAAATACTATATACTTAAAAGGAATAACAAACTCAGGATAAGATTGGCATACAATCAACATCAAACATATCAAGCCAATCACAAACAGAGGTGAACATCAATCATACAACAAACTTACAACATCAACCCGCATATCTGACAGGACAGACTTCAACTGCTCTGCAACAGAATCCTCTGGCAGAATGCTCACATCCTAACAAGGAGCAAAATGAATTGTTGAAGCTTAAAGAAAGAAACCAAAAAGAATAAAAAACTACAATTTGAAAGAAACCTCATCATGTTAGTAGAGAACTATAAAAAGCAATATGTTGTTAAACCTGAACCCCAAGGGTATTCTGTGCAGTAACAGCGGTGATCACAGTGGAACAGTACACTCCTCGTGCAGCACAAGCTTTAAGGTCTGCTTGAATTCCTGCACCAGCTCCTGAATCAGAGCCAGCAACGGTCAGAACATGTGGGATTTTTTTATTACTGGAGCCATTTGTGATGGTTAAGGCCTTTTCCTCCGGCATTGTCTTGAGAGTCAAATCACCAAACTGATCCAACCCTTGCCTACCAGCTTGTTTTGAACTTGATACTGCACATATCTGAGATTAATCGACCACCAAGTTAGAAACCACCAAATATACTTTTTTTAAGTATAGAATAATTATATACGGCAAATGCAACAAATAAATTTACACACCTTCCTCGCCTTTTGTGAGGTTTGAACCCCTGACCTCCTAGGAGGCCAAAGACTACGATACCGCTAGACCAAAGGCCCTTTTGTCCAAATACACTTATTACTTGTAACACATTACTAGTTATCAGGTAAGTGCGAATGAACAACCGCCATTGCCAGGACAAAATATAAAAAATAAGCTTTAAATCTAGAGTAGTGGTTACTGATTACCATATCTAAAGCTCCAAACCTTATGGTCGGATGGAATATCTTTCAAATTGGTAGACAATGAAACTTTTGGTCTCAAAAACAAACTTTTAACTTCAAAATAGACATGAATTATCAGAATTTGAGATAACTACTTCCATTAACCTTAAAAATCATACCACAATCCATCAATAATCAACCTTTTCAATCAAAAACAAATATTATGTCCGAAATTAACATCCAAAGTATGCTGGAGCCAAGAGTATAATCTATGATCAATCATCACATAATTCGGAATTTTTTTGTTATATAAACATCAAAATCACAATCCATCTATCACCGAGAACAAACTACGAGTTCGACAAGAAATCTGTCCAAATGTAGTAGAAATCCTAGTAAATTATGATTATGAAGAAGAAAACGGAATAAAATTTGCGTTGCAATTGAAAAGGAGAGAGTAAAGAGTAAATTCTGTACCTTGCGATCAAAAATGGAAGTGGAAATGGAGGTGGAGCTGATGCCTAAGAGGGGGAAATCCATCTATTGAGTAAAGTAGGAGATACCACTAATGGGGCCTCGAAGCATCGCCCGGCCGTCATGTAGACAAAGTGGTCTGTCACTTACTGTGCCACGTGGCAACTATTTATTTGTCAGTCACCCATCATTCAGTGCCTCTGGCCGGATCAGAGGCATTTGTTGTTTGTTTTATTGTATAGAAAGAAAAAAATAATAATTACGGTCCGTTTACCGAATACTTATTGGGTAAACGCTTACCGGTAAGAATCACCACTATCATTTACCTTAACGAGTAACTTTCCTGGCCATCAAAATGAATTGATCCCGGTAAGCACTTATCAGACAAAAGTCATCACCCTCACTTATCGAATAAGACTCATGGTCTTTGTCTTTCCTCTTATCGGATGAAATTTTTGGTTCTTATTATGTTCACCCGATAACGTATATGAACCGATAATCACTTACCAAGATAAGTGTTTAGTAAACATCCCCTACATGTTTGATCCTTGTGATTGGCATTTTTAAAAGGTATCTAAAATGAATTAAGGGGGCGTTTAGAACTGCTTGTTTGAAGTGATTATTAACTTATTCCAGCTTGCTATCGATAATAAGAAGTTTTTAGTGTTTGAATGGAAAAAAAAAATACTGATACCGGTGAAAGCGCATCGCATATTCGTGTATGGATTATCGATAGAGAGTACCTGTATTGGTTTATAAATGCTCCGTCAATATCATTGCCGAGTCTGAAAAATACAATTTTAAACCCCCTATGGAGTGTTTAGATTCGATTTTAATTGTCACTGAATCTGGATTAGATTTTAAGTTTTAGTAAAGTTTTATATCCTTCAATTTTTATCTGATGCGTTTTGGAGGTTACATATATTGTTTAAAACCCAAATATATCCAGTGTACTTTACTCATCAGATATTTCCTTACCTATCACATGATCTTATTGTTTGAAGGATTCAGATATAGCTCTTATCGGATACATCTTAAACAGTTGAATATCATCTAAATGCAAACAGACAAATAGTTTGTCCTAGTCCAATTGATTATTTTGTTGAATAAAGGATTACAGTCTCACTATACTCATAGTATGTCCAATGTAACTGCTTCATAATATTTTATAGGTGGTAAATCCGATGTATAACTTGAATATCAGATATAGTTAAAGGTCGGACTTTTACTTGTAAAAGTCTTATAACTACCTATATTGATCTAAGAATAAAATGTCTTCAACAAAATTGAAGACTAGTTGAAGTAAGGTCGATATCGTCACCAAAGCGAATTGGTTTGTAATCTAGCCGAAAGAAGATCAGTACAAGATAAAAAGTTAATTAGTAGTCTGACAAATACTACTACTAGCAAGCAGAATCTTGAAATACAAACTTTGCCAACAAGTTTGGTTCACCAACTCGCTTGCTTCCTTCTTTGGTATGAGAACATGTACAACATGTTAGCCTAAACAAATCCAAATGCACCATGTGACTGATACTTTGTTTTGCTTTACTATACTATGTTAAAACTGTGTCTACATCAAATTCAAAAGTTGAAATGAAGATAAGTTACATGGTTCAACCAACCAGAAGAAGACATGCAGAAAAGTTAGACATAATGCATTTAATGCAAAGATGACAATAAAGGTCACCACTGACATACAATGCAACTTGCCCATTTTGCAAAAAACATCCAAAAGAGTGTTTCTGAAGTAAATTTGGCGTCATCATCTGAAGAATTTCCTTACTTTTCAATTCGGAAAGAGAACTTCCCCCCATTTCAATTAGCACAGTTGTCACAATCATATTGCTTAGGATCACAAGTCTTACTGTTGATCCTCTCTCTCATTGATTTGTTGATAAT